CATTTTTTCCACCTTTGGCGTTGGTGCTTAACCTCAACCTTCTCATTTAAAGTGACAAAGTTAATAGATGTCCTTGTTCATCGTTCTTCTAAAACTTGTTCAAAGAATCAAAATACGCGATGACGATTATTTTGCCTCGAATAAATTAATACATTGTTGTTTTTTTGTTTGACACCGTCAAACTTTATGCTAACATGTCTTAATTCAATAATAAGTAACGTATTTACTTAATAGAGACTATGAGCCTGTTTGTTTTGCATTAAAATTTGATTTTAATTTAAGTCAAAATCAAATAATCAATATTAATCACATTTTTCATTAGTTCAATAATTTTTCAACCATACATTTCAAAAACTTCTATCACAATCCACTAAAAATCTACCAAACACCCTCTATATAATATTGTCCCCGATTTAGATAAAAAACAAATTTTTAGTTGGCTTTGATAAAGTTAATGGAATGTTAGATTAAAAAGTTGTGAATCCCATAAAATGTGTGGCAAAAATGAATTTTTAAATTTTAATCCAATTTTTTAGCTGAACCCATTGTAATGCTTTCTGGGTCGTCTCAAACCTTAGTATTGGTATTTATCTTCAAAATATTTGGAGAAATCCAATTTCTAAACTTGAATCTTTTCCGAAATTGAAACTACCCGTTGCAATGCTTTCTGGGTCACCTCAAATCTTACGATTTGTATTTATCTCCAAATTATTTGGAGATATACACACAAAAGGTTTGTATTCTCACTTTAAGTACATCTTTGCTCCTAATAATGTTTGGGCATTTTTCTTTTATGACATTTGATAAAGTTTGTTTAGGAGAGATTAAAATCTGATTAAAATTAAAAAACTAGTCGTTATTGTTGACTTTTATTAGAGGAGTGAGATTCAATAACGACTATATTTGAAATTTTAATTGGATTAAAATTCCTCCCAAACAAATTCAAAAGAAGTTACTTTGTTAAAATTAATTACCTAACCATCAAATAAGTGCTTCTTTATTCCTAAACCCTTGTTTGTTTCGGATTAAGCTCTTATTTGGTACTCATTAACATTTTTATTCTCATTCTTTTATTCGTTTTCAACCACACATTTTTCAATAAAATAATATTTTCCATCGCATCAATAACTTTTCCTTCTTTTTCAACCACACATTCCCCCATCAATCTACTATTCCAAAATACATTCTTCCAAAATAATATAGCTCAAACACAACCTAAAATAAGATTTTAATCTAAATTAAAGTTAAATAATTAATATTAATAACATCTTTATGAGTCCCACACCTTTTCAACCACACATTTCAAAAACTTTTATCACAATCTACTAAAAATCTAATTTTAACTCCTACCAAATACCCACTTAATTTATAACGATAATTTTTTATTTTTATTTTTAACAAGGAAAGGAAAGTTCTAAAGCTTAGGCAAACTACTCGTGTCTTTAATACAGTAGAATATATGTTGTTTGGATCGGATTAAAATCTGATTTTAATCCAAGTCAAATTCAAACAATTAATATTAATTATATATTTCATGAGTCTCACATCTTTTCAACCACACATTTAAAAAATTTATATTACAATCTACTAAAAATTTAATTTTAATCCTTACCGA